CCTGCTATGCTCAAGAAATCTAAACACTCTGCTGCCGTAGTTGCGGGGTTACGTCAAATTGCACTTGATCGTACGTGAGGGGAAAAATGGGCACTGTTTTTGGGTGTACCTGCACAAATATGGTCCTGGACCACGCCCAGAAGACTTTAGTAATCTAGCTGCTTCAGTTGCAGAGTTACATTAAACTTCACGTGTTCGTGTGTGAGGTGAGCAAGAGACATGGAAGAAGCGTGAAAGTTGCTTTCATGTTCACCTGACCAAACGCCGTTTTCAGCCATGCTCGAAAGTTTCAGCCTTCTAGCTGCTTCTGTTCCAAAGTTACAAAACTGCGCCCTTACGTGAGATACATAATAGCTGGAAAACTCAATTTACTTTCAAGAAGATAAAGGTGGGCGACAAGCAAGGGTGCGCAATCATAGCTCTCTAAAACTTCTTGGTCAGTTTAATCCTTGAATTGGCGTAATGCCAATTTAAACTTTGTACCTGTGACCTGTGGTGCGTGAGGGCTGAATCTAAAACGTCTGAGTCGAACGAGGACAAGGGGCATTTCGTCATTTTCCAACCTTCTGGCTCACGCTGATCCCGAAATCGCTTCCCCGCCAAAAAATCTTTCACGCACCTGTACGTGAGGACCATGCGGGCATGAGTGTTCATTTCGAGGGTGAGGGCTCGTTGCCAAAGTTGCAGCCTTACAACCTTTGTAGGTCCCGAAATGAAATTCGGTGCAGACGCACATATGGACACAAACATAAACAGACACAGATATACACACAGACAACCCCATGACAACAAACATTTTTGCATTACAGAGATATAGAAAATTGGCCAACGCACGGGCTGTCCGTGCGAAGATGCGTTTTTAGCACAGCTCCCCGCAGAATTTTGTCGCTAACGGCGCTGGCTTTTCCGGCAGATGCTTCCAGCTAAAAGAATTTCAGGCTGGCCGCCAAGACTGTCAGGAAACATCCCCTTCAAAATTCCAGTCTTCTAGCTCCTCAGGCTCTCCAGTTAACAACTTATCAGGAAAAAAATTTTGCGGGCCCGTACGTGGGTACCACGCTTACCCGGAGGCTGGGTTTGAGCTCACTAATACCTACTTGGACGGGGGACATTCCCTTACTATTTCAGCCTTCTAGCTTCTCAGGCTTCCGAGTTATCAATTTACCCGAAAAAAATTTTCACTGGCTCCTACGTGAGTACCACGCATACCCGGAGACTGGGTTTGAGCTCACTAACACATACTTGGATGGGGAACATCTCAAAATTTCAGCTTGCCAGCTTCTCTGGTTTCCGAGTTAGCAGCTTGCCCATAAAAAACCTTGGCGGGCCCGCACTTGGGTACCACGCGGGTAAGAGCGCCCATTTCGGGGATGGGGGCTCGTACACGCATGTAGCTTAAGTTCCTCAACTTTCAGCCCTGCAGCTTTTGTGGGTCTCGAGATAAAAAAACGGTACAGACGAATACACAGACACACGCACACACACACAGACAGCCCCTCGTCAATATGCGTTTTCTGCACTGCATAGCCGCAAAAAATGCATAAAAAGGCATAAAAGCAACAGTTTACCTCCTGGCCAGTTAGGAAAAGAAGGATATCGCCTTCAACTTCTTCGCATACGTGGATCTGCACAACAGTTCTAATCGCAGCTTCCAAATAATCTTTTTCTGGTTCCGGCGTATACTAAAATTAGCGCAGTATTAATATATTTCCAAAAGCAAACTTTGTAGGGAGCTCATGCAATAAGGGTGCCAAAACTTACAAAGATTTCCACAGGAAATGTGCGCCCTGGAACTGACATTAGCGGGCAATTTTCGAAATAATTCTGGAATTTTCCGGAATCCAACGTCGCGCTCATCACAACAATTTTGATATCTTTTCGTTGTTTTACGATTTCCTGCAAAATAGAAATTCGAATAATTATTCCCACCCAACAAACAAATTCTTCAAACGGTGATAGTTGGAAGAGAAAAGGCAACGCACCTTGATCAGACCCATCAGAATATCAGTTGCCAAAGTACGTTCATGTGCCTCGTCCAGTATTATCACACCGTAACTATCCAGCAATGGACTGTTCATGGCTTCACGCAGCAGCATACCATCGGTGCAGTATTTCAGTACCGTACGCTCACTAACACAATCCTCGAAACGTATTGAGTATCCAACTTCAGAGCCCAACTAAAAAAAAAAAAAAACACATTATTTTGACTAATTCTCAAAAAATCACATTATTTTGATCAATTCTCATTCTGTCCCCCCTCCTCTCCCCCTCCCACCCCCCCTTCCCTCTTCCTTCCAAATGAAGTAGAGCGAGTAGAACTTTCGACGCTTATTTTCAATTTTTGAAAAAATTTATATGCATTTAGAAACAGGGGGATGCCCACCCAGCACAGCTATGTTAAACCGCCCGATCTAGGCCTGTACACCGCCAGTCAGTACTTATCGCTTGTTCGATGTATGTGTATAACTTCTTCGGAAACTACCCTACTGGTAGCTTTTTCTCTGTGGATATCAATATTGGCACGTGGCGTCCACGTTATAAGCAACGCGAAAAACGTGTCCCATCCATCGAATTTTACTTTCTCGCGTGGTTTTAATGATTTCTAGCATGTCGGGTCGGAATTTTAGAAGTCCTTATCAAGTTGATGTAACAAAAATGATATTTTTCATCTACCTGCACATCCATTTCTTCGGCAACACGTGTCGCGACGCTCATTGCTGCTACTCGACGTGGTTGCGTACACGCAACCAATCGCCGCTGTCCTGGGAGTGCACGCAATTTGCAATATTCCAGGCACCATTGTGGAATTTGAGTGGTTTTCCCAGATCCCGTTTCACCCACCAGCGTTAAACACTGAAAA